ACATATGGAAAAAGGGCCTATTTATAGTAATCTGTCAGACACCACCTTAATCAAATGATACAAGTTAACAATGCTGATAATGAGATATGTCAATATCATCTTAATATGAGGCCCTGAAAAAAATACCATTATCACTTCTACGGTGTTCTTGCTAAAAAATGTAAAACCTGAATTTAATCATAAGGAAGCACAACAAAATCACAAACTGAGACATAGTCCAAAACCCCTGCTTCTTTGGAAAAATTTATTTAGAAGAAATGTTTTTTGTTACTGGTATATAGAAAAATAAATTGATCTCCTCCAGCGACCTTGATAAATTCCCCTATTATTTCTAATAATTTGTCTGTTTATTCTTTTGGGTTTTCTATATTATCAAAAAATAATCAAGCTCTACTCAAAGTCTAGGATAGGAATATCCAAGTGGCTGAGCCCAGGTCATATGCCTGAACCAGTAAAGCAATTATCTGGCATTTTTAGTCTGCATAATGGGAGAAAGGCTTCCTCCCACCAAGACTCATAAAATGGAGAATTCTCCAAACATAAAAACAGAACAGGAGAAACAAATTTTACTAAAATCCAGAGTATAATGTAGGAAAACATTTTGTCAGAAATGGTCATGAGTGACAGAAATAACATAAATGGTAATACAGTATAAGAAATACTATAAAATAGCATAAAATACATAACAAATAATGAGGCATACAGACAACAAAGGATCATTAAAATACAAAGGTTATAATTTAAAGTAAAAGTAATAAGTAAAAGTAAATGTAAGAATGATACAATTTTAAAATCTGAACATCACACTTGGATCATATCATGGATCCTTCAGAGTAATGGGAATTTATTCCTCTTAACTCCCGCAATTCTAGAATAGTCAGTGAACTTTCATATAGTACATTAACAGTCAACTTTCAAAACCTTGCATGTTCTATAAATGTCTCATCATTTATGCCCAATTGACCCCAAGAGAGAAATCACCAGAGAGGAACAAAGAACAAAAATAGAGCTAGTAACTACTTTTTTGTGTCTCCTCTCCTCCCAGAGGGGCATTCTTTGGACACCCCCTCCACCTTCAAGAAAAAAAGAACATCAAGAATGGGAAGTCAAACAAGCATGAAAAGATTATGATACACTTTAACATCTATATGCATTCATCTACAGTTCTTTTTCATTACTTTTTTGCTCACACATTAAAGTGGACTGGAGATAATTCACACCTTTATAAAAATTAAAAATATTCGTGAAAGATCAATTTACTTCTACCTATTTACTCTAAATAAATTTCACATGGGAGACTGAGGACCGTTTCATAAGAGGGATGAACAGGGACCTGAAGGATGATTAAGAAAGAGAAAGAAAGAGAAAACATTTCAGGCTAAGGAATAACACAAACAGAACTGAGAACATGCTAAGTCTACATAACAAATTGAGAGTAAAAGGACTGGAACACAGACCTATTAACTCTGTGATGTAAAAAACCTTTAATAAACACATGGGAAACCTGCAAGAGAAGTAGTTTGACAAAACCAGATTAACTTAGTTATAGGAAGATTAAAAATTGCTCATGAAACATTCAACTAATGTTATCAAGTAGGCAGTTGGAAATATGGGCTTAGGACGACACAGGAGATCTAGAGCTAGAAACCATGCAACATGTAGATCATGTTCACAGCCACAGAATACGCACTTGTTACTAGTGTTAATGTTGTCTCGGGCTACCAAACACTTAGATTAATAACAACTAATCAAGGTAGACTCAAATACAGTGATTAATAATTTTAAATTGCCTAAAGGCAATTCAATGAACTCTATAAATCAATGAACTCTATAAATCAACTCTATAACTCAGAATAGACTTTCTTCCAAGTAGTGAAATCTACATAGATACACATTAAAAACTCCTGCAATTCAGGAGTCTTCAGAGATCAGAATACTACAGGCACTTAAACTGAACTGTCAGCACGCAAGACCTCTCCGTGTGTGATCTTACTGCACCTGCCTGCAACACTGTTGAGCTTACAAGCCTCAAGACCGTAATTCTCCTTTTAGAGATGATGAAACTGAGGATGAAGGGAGAAAAAAACAACCTGCTCAAGTGGCAGTAAGTGGCATAATCCAGGTCCTGAATATGAGTCATCTGACTCCAAATCCAGTGTTATTATATCTTAGTGATCAGGTGAAGGAAGGGCTATGGCAAGAGGGTCTTGAATCCTTCTGTACACAAATCTGTACCTCTAGACTGAAAACTATTTTTAAGTTATGAAATTGTGATTTATAATAATAAATATATATTTGATCTTTGTCCCATTTCTGGCACAGAGCTCCCCAAACCCTTGGAATTTCCTAAGTAATGAGAGCAAGAGACATGTCTTTTGTTATGTTAATGAGGTGGTTTTTGGACCCACCCCCACCCCAATGAAGGATGGGGGCTGGCTGCCAGGAGAGCCAACCATATGATCAGAGTGTTGGAACTTTTGGTCCTACTCCTCCAATCTCCAGTGAAGGGAGAGGACCAGCAGGTTGAATCAATCACCAATGGCCAATGATTTAGTAAGTCATGACTATGTGATGAGGCCTCCATAAAAACCCAAAAGGACAGGGTTGGAGAGGTTCCATGCCGGTGAATACACGAAGGTGCTGGGAGAATGGTGCCCTCAGTGAGCATGGAAGCTCCATGCTCTTTCCTACCTACTTTGCCCTATGCACCTCTTCCATCTGGATGTTCATCTGTATCCTTTCTCATATCCTTTAATAAATAAACATAAGTGTTGTGCAGAGCTCTGTTAGGCACTCTAACAAATTAATCAAACCCAAGGAGGGGGTCTTTGGAACCTCCAATCTATAGCTGGTTGGTCAGAAACACAGGGCTTGCAACTGGCATCTGAAGTATGTATGTATGTGGGGGTGGGGGCCGGTTTTGTGCAAATGAGCCCTTAACCTGTGAGATCTGACGTTAACTTCAGGTAGATAGCATCAGAATTCATTAAATTGTAGGATACCCAGCCACTGTCACAGAGAATTCCTTGGTGTGGGGAAAAGCTTCCATACATTTGCTGACCAAAAGTGTCAATGAAGTGTTTAGGTAAAAGTAGACACACACAGGGAAAAAACACACAGTAGGGAAGAAGCGAGTTTTTCCCTACATAGTAAGAAAAAGAAACCTGAGTTTTTCCTTTACACAACTATATACTTCTTTCTTTTTTAGTGTTAAGGCTTTTTTTTCTCATTACAAATCAGTACATGCTCAAAATTCTAATTTTATAAAACTGTAAACGAGAGAAAGTGGCATATCCCCATAATCCCAACTCTCACAATATGCACTACTAATAGTTTGGGGTATATTCCGCGAGACCATTTTCTCTATTCATCTAATTAATGCACAGGTAGGAGCTGTATAAATGTGTGTATGAGCTTGAATATATTTACACACTTGCAAATGCTTCTACTGGATCAATTTTTAGAAGCAGAATGTTAGGTCACTGAGTATATAATACTTTAAATTTTAATAGCTATTGCCAAATTGCTTTCCAAGGAGATTGTACCAATTTCTACTAGTTGACAAAGAAAACTTGTATAAATACAAATGGCCAAAAGACATATAAACCAAGGAGACTATACCGTTTCTGCTGACATACAATATGCGACTGACAAAATCTGTATAAATACAAATGGTCAAAAGACATAAACCAGTATTTAATCCCATTTGGTAAAGAAATCCAAATTAAATAAAAGCAGTATATTTATTTTTATCCATCAACTTGGCAAAAAAATTAAAGACTAATATTATCTAGCAGAGTGTGGGGACAGGAAAACAAGCTCTCTCACGGACTGTGGGAAGAATAACCTGGCTCAACTTCCAGAGGGCATTCTGGCCATGTATGAACATTTTAATGTACATGGACGATGACCCGGGAATTCCACATTTAGGAATGGATCCCACATCAGTACGTATCCAGGTGCCCATCAATTTAATTACGGTAATGCACAGTGCAGTCTTTAAAAAGAGAGCAAAAATTTGGAAACAGTTTAAATGTCTATCAATCAGAAATTAAGTCAATTACGTTAAAACCATACAATGGAATATTTTGCAGTCATAAAAAAATGATGCTATGATACTCTTTTTAGCATAGAAAAATGTCCATGATATTAACAAATATATAGAACAATCCTATTTATATATAAAGTATAAAAGCCATAGGAAAAATTTCTTAAAATATATTTCAGAATATCAATAGTTGTATCTACATGGAGGAGTAACAGGTAAATTTTAACTATACATTCTGTAATTGTTTTAAATGGTATGCATGTGTTTACTTTTATATTAAAGAAAACATTAACAACATTTTCCTTTTAAAAGACATGGGAAACCACGAAAAGTTGGGAATCAGTACACTAGAACCAGATAATGTCCTAAATCCTTTCATATTCTGAAATTCTACATAATAAAGAAAATATTTACTCCAGAGGCTTTTTTCCTTCATTATTCCCAAAAAGCATATTCAATACGCTTTCCCTAGATCTTGTGAGGAGACTAAAATACAAGAAATATTCCTTGTTCTTACTGTATTTTGACTTTTAAAATAATACTGATGGCTGCATCTTGGGAGTACAGAGAAGGGGTAGAGAAAATAAGGAAATGATAAAACCGCAACCCAGGCAAAGCCTTTCTCAGGTTTCAAAACTCCCAAAGAAAATCAGCGCAAATCTCCAAATTTAGGTCCGAGAGCTAAAAATGGAGACTCACTGCTCTTAAAGATTTATGTATATAATATTATCCTACTCACAACAGATCATTATTCCTGGATCGTTACTGTAGGAGACAAGTCAAGGCAAACACAGCAAGTTAGACTTACATTTAACTATCAGAAAGAATATATTATCTAACCTTCATATATTTTTAAAAACATGCTTATAAGAGCATATTAAAACATTCATTTATGGTTTCAACTCTTATACATTATATGTAGTAAAAAAAATAATGACAATTAAATAATTACCTCTCCTATGAAGACTACTATAACACAGTCCAACTTCTCTTCAGGATACAGATTATCAATAAGGGAATGAAGGGTTTCTATGAGGTAAGATTTAACTTCTCTCTTCACTGTGGGAATTCCCATTACTATTGACACTGAAACAAAATAATGATAGTAATTATATAAAAAGATTTCACACTGACAGTACAGAATAACACTAGTATTTCAAAAGTGATCATACCCTCTCAAATTGATAAAAATAACTGAGAAATTGAAATACACTACTCAATAATAATTGAGGAATCAAAATATATTACAAAATGTACTACTATACGAAGAAAAATAATCAAAGCCAGAAAAGGCATACCCATAACAGTGTAATTCTTTTCCACAGGGCTTATCCATAAAAAATGTCAAAGTGCTGATAAAAATGAAGACATTAAACCTCACATTAAAAACAAGTGACTGTAAAGTATAAACAAATATAAATTATACAACTAAAAGTTAGAAACACTGAACACATCTTAAAAATTAATGTCTCAAAAAAAAAAAATCAATGTCTCAGATATCATGTATATAACGCAATCAGAAGGACACAACATCCCTTCTGTGGTTTTCTTGCCAAAAATGCATAACCTCAATCTAACCATGAATATCAGACAAATCCAAATTAGGGGGATAATCCACAAAATAATTGTCCAGGTATTTTCTGAAGTGTCCAGATCAGGAAAGACAAAGAAAGAATAAGGAACTGTGCGAGATGGCCAAAGACGAAGGAGACATTACAAGTAAATGAAATATGGGACCCTGAGTTGGATCCTGGAGCAGAAAAAGAAGCATGAGAAAATGACAAAATCTGAAGAGGATCTAAGGTTAGTTAACACTATAGCATCAATGTCAAGTTCCTGGTTTTGATCATTTCAACATTTAGGGGAACCGGGTGAGGTATATGAAAACACTGTGTGTACTATCCATGCAACTCTTTCAAGTCTAAATTACAGCCAGTTCTACTGCAATGCTTGTTTTGCAACACAAATTTTTTCCTGAGTGATTAATGTATTAGGCAACTATCTGAGCATAAGGTGTATTTCTCATTTGCTTATGTGCAATTTCTCCTCTGGGATAAGCATTCACTAGGTAAACACAGAAAGTGGAATCCGTTTGAAATGAGTTTAAAAAACTGAACCACGCAATGTAGAAATACACGAACAGTATACACTCCTAACTTCTACCAGCTGCCTCAGTTAACTGCACGTGAAGAACCACACATATCTACATCTAGTGTTGAAATTTCCACCAGATTGCAGATAACCTGCCTTGCATCACATTTCTCAAAACCTTCCAAGCGGCAATCCTTCTGAAGCCCATTTTAACAGGCAAACGTCCAGTATTATTCGGTACCTATTTACTGTAGTACTTAGTATTTCTTAATCATTTGTCATGTGTAAAACTGTGTTTTTGTCTTTTTGTGTGTAACTAACAAAGTTTCTGACCACTGTGATACTAACCGACTTTTCTCCTTTTATTGAACAATTCTGCATAGCATAAATTTTAAGAATGCATATATTATGTTATAATAGGACTGTAATCCACAGGAAGTTTTTTTTTAATAACACCTTTTAAAAAGCCTTAATATCCTGTTACATAGCAGTAGAGAAATATTTTGCAAATGTTAAAAATATTTAAGTCTTAATAATGTAAAAATGTATTAGAAATGCGACAAAATACTTAGAATTCATGAAATTCTGAAATCAGAAGGAAGCTTGAAGATCATGGCTCAATGAGTCTACCACCATGATTCTGCAATTAAGAATACTAAGATCCATAATTTGGCTATATGCAAAAGAATGAAACTGGACCAGTTTGTTACACCATACACAAAAATAAACTCAAAACAAATTGAAAACCTAAATGTGAGACACGGAACCATAAAAATCCTAGAAGAGAGCATTGGCAATATTTTCTCTGACACTGGCCAGAGCAACATTTTTCTAGATATGTCTCCGAGGCAAGCGAAACAAAAGCAAAAATAAACTACTGGGAGTACACCAAAATAAAAAGCTTCTTCTGCTCAGCAAAGGAAACAATCGTTAAAACTAAAAGACAATCTACTGAATGGGAGAAGGTATTTGCAAATGACATATCCGATGAAAGGTTAGTATCCAAAATAAGTAAAGAATGAATACAACTTAACAACAAACAAATAATCTAATTTAAAAGGGGGCAGAAAGATATTTCTCCAAAGAGGACATACAGATAGCCAACAAGACGCATGAAAAGATGCATGACATCACTCATCATCAGAGAAAGGCAAATCAAAACCTCAATGAGAACACCTCACATCTGTCAGAATGGTTAAAATCAACAACATAAGAAAACAGGTGTTGATGAGGATATGGAGAAAGAAGGAATCCTCATGCACTATTGGCAGAAATGCAAACTGGTGCAGCCTCTGTACAAAACAGTATGGAGGTTCCTCAAAAATTAAAAATAGAACTACCCTATGACCCAGTAACTGCACTATTGGGTATTTACCCAAAGAATATGAAAGCATTAATCCAAAAAGATAAAAGCACCCCTATGTTTACTGCAGCGTTATTTATGATAACCAAGTAATGGAAGCAGCCCAAGTGTCCATGGATTGATGAGAGGATAAAGAAGATGTGATACACACACACACACACACACACACACACACACACACACACAATGGAATAGCACTCAGCCACAAAAATAATGCAGTCTTGCCATCTGCAACAACACTGATGGAGTATGAGTATATAATGTTAAGAGAATAATTAAGTCAGGGAAAGACAAATGCCATATGATTTCACCCATAGGTGGAATTTAGGAAACAAAACAAAGGAAAAAAAAGACACAAACCAAAAAAAACCAGTCTTAACTATAAAGAACAAAGGTTACCAGAGAGGAGGTGAATGGGAGGATAGATAAAATAGGTGATGGGGACTAAAGAGTACACTTACAGTGACGAGCACTGAGGAACACATAAAACTGTCGAATCACTAAATTGTACACCTAAAACAAACACTATATATTAACTATGTTGGAATTAAAATTTTAAAAAGCAATAACAGCCCTCCCCCCCAAAAGAATACTAAGATCCAAACGGTTGAAAAAATATCCCCAAAGGTAGATGCCACACTCCTCTCTTCAATTTTGAGATGAAGAGCTTCCTGGGGTTCAAAAAGAGATCTGTCATATTTAGACTTCTGGGAAGATGGCAGAGCAGTAAAATCTTGAGCTCATAGACACACAGTGCAACCAACTCTGAAAAAGACTCAAAGACTGGCACAAGAGACTTTACAGTTAATCATAGAAAAAACCACAATGAGAACTACAGGAGGGGAGGAAATGCACTTAGGTACCAAACCTCTGTGAGACTAACTGCACACAGAACCGAGAAGGGAGAGGAGCAGAATCCACACCAGGTACCACAGGCGTGGAGAACCCACACTGGTAAGATAAGTCCCCATAATATCTGGCTTTGAAAACCAATGGGGCTTAACTTCCAGAGTTTTAAAATCAGCAGACCCTAACTCTGGGTACTTTAAAATCAGCTGGTGTAGCTCCAGGAGAGCTGGCAGGGATAACAGGAAACTGTGTCCCCACCCTCAAAGAGCCAGCATAACAAAGAGCCCTGCAGAGACGCCTCAAGGAAGCAGCAGTTTGGAAAGTGCCTGTGGTATCTCAGATTTTGCACTGAAGGGGCAGGAATCTTTAGGAGACTTCAAGAACAAAAGTGCTAGCAAGCACCATTCTCTTACCCTAGGCTCCCTCCCCTCCTGACCCCCCCCCCCATATAGCCAGACACTTGTGGGAACCACCACAAATACTCTCTACATATCTTGCTAGGAACAAGTGCCCCACCTCTGCATTCCCCTTTGGAGGCACCACATCCAACCTGACCCACTCAGCAGGCATGCCTCCAAAACCACTTCTGCCCCAACACACCATGCAAGCAATCCCAGCAGGGACAAGTGCCACTCCAAAGCGACCCCTGGCCTGGGGAGAAGGGAGTATAACCGTACAAAACCAGTGTATCCACAGTCCCAGCAGCCAAACCTTATAGCTGGCAGTGCAGAGACAGTGCCCTGCAGCTCAGTATACCTGCAGTCCCAGAGCACACAGACTAAGGGCAGGCATCCAACCTGACTGCTGCCCTACTACAAGCCCCCTTAAAGCACAGGGACCAAACCCTGGCCAGTGTACCCCAAACAGGTAAAATGGGCCTATGCGGCCAACTGGACTGAAGGTAAATGCAGCTCAGTCCCACAGTAGGACCCACATAGCCACAAAGGAGACACCCTGGAGGTGCCTGGTTCCAGTGAACAGAGGACACTGTGCTACAAGACACCACAAGACCTCTTCTTCATAAGGCCACTACTTTCAAAATCAGGAGATGTACATGATTTCCCTAACACAAAGAAACAAACACAGAGTTAGACAAAATGAGGAGACAGAGCAATATGGCCCAAATGAAAGAACAGGACAAAAATCACAGGAAGAGAGCTAAATGAAATGATGATAAGCAATATGCCTGATAAAGAATTCAAAGTAATGGTCATAAAAATACTCACTGGACTTGAGAAAAAAGTGGAGGATCTCAGTAAGACCTTCAACAAAGAGACAGAAAATACAAAAAAGAACCAGTCAGAAATGAAAAATTCAGTAACTGAAATTCAAAATTCACTAGAGCAAATTGATACCAGAATAGAGGAGGCAGAACAACTAAGCAGTGATGTGGAAAACAGAGTAATGGAAAGCAACTAAGCTGAAGAGCAAAAAGTAAAAAGAATAAAAAATGAAAATAGGTTCAGGAAACTCAACAACATCATCAAGCAGAGTAACATTAACATTATGGGGATCCCAGAAGACAGAAAGCAACAGAAAATGTATTTGAAGAAATTATTGCTGAAAATTTCCCTACTGCAGGGAAGGAAAAGATATCTAGACTCAAGAAGCACAAAAGAGCCCCCAACAAAATTTACCCAAGGAAGTCCACACCAAGACACGTAATAATTAAAGGGACAAAAACAAGTGATAAAGAGAAAATTTTAAAAAAAGCAAGAGAAAAGAAAAATTGTATACAAGGGGAACCACATAAGGCTATCAGTTGATTCTCAAACAGAAACTA